ATCCTCTGAGGCTGTATGATACACACCATAAAATATAAACAAAATTATATACTTGGGGGTTTAATGCATTTTTGCTCATTACATGAGCATGAATATTAAATATGTTATTATGTTGTCTGGTGAGGTCTGCTTGATTCCTTATTTCTGTGGCTAATCTTTAGAAATAATTTATCTTTTCTACTAACACAGATCTCTCGTGGGAATGGTGTACAACTTTGACCTAAAAGTGGGGGAGCAGAACCCTTCACATATCTGAACTTGCCTGTAGGTGACAATGTCAAGACAGCCTGACAAGTAGGACCTTCTGGGGAATAGATCAAGAGAGATGTGTGGGGATGAAGTACCCAAACAAGTGTCATCTGTATTTAAAATAAAAAGAATTAAAAGAGAGAAGACGGGAAGGTCCTCATACTTTGTTTATTAGAAATATAAGTGTTCTTTATTGCTCACTGCTCCCTTATTAAAAACAAAGCAAACATGAGCATAGAAACAAAAGAAAGAAAACAACTAAATGGCCAGACCAAACAAAAGAAGAGGTATGAGGCTAAGATATTTTGGTGGAATCTAAATTCCGTTTCCTGAAACATTCTGTGCAAGGGGTTTCAGCTGACTTAAGAGTTCAGGTCTCTACTATCCTATAGCAGAGTATGTAATTTTGTTAGAGGCAAATCCTGTGTCCTGAAAGATAAATTCAGGGGGGCTATCTTGCGAACTTTTCTCCTTGTCCTCCTTACTCCATGAGTGGTGTTTTGGCAGATAAATTCAAAACAGCCACACAAAAGTGTTGCAGAGTCTGAAACTGATGGAACATTACAAATATGTCTGAACTTTTAAATCTCTGCTATTACTAATGCATTTTGCAGTGTTACACTGTGCACACAGACTGCCTTTGAACATACGAAGACCTGACTCAGTTCAAGTCCATCCAGCCAAAAACTGTGCAGCAGTGCCCAGGAGCAGATGTTATGGGGGAGTTTAAGAAACAGGCGCTATGGAATGACTGTTTCCCAGCAGTTCTTTCCAAACGTGGGAAATCAGAAGAGGGATGTTTCTGAAACTGCCATGATCTGTTGACCTATCCTCTGTGAATTCACCTAATGCCTCTTTGCTCCTTTGTAATTTTGTGCCCCACAGCATCCAGAGACAAAACATTACAGAATATTCTGATGTAAAAAAGTCCTGTAGTCTAACATCTTGTAGAAGTTTTCCCTAGCTCTTAGCTGATACAAAGTACTGAATGCTTGTTACCCATTTAACCTTCTCCACATATTTCATTATTTTCTACATCTGTACTTCATAAAGACTTTTCCTCTCTGTTTAAATGTTGAAATACCATGTTCTGGTTTTGCTACACTGAAACTGTTGTATACAAGTTCTAAAAATGCTTTCTTTTCTGCTTTACTTTGTGCTTTCTCTGCTTCTACTTACCCATTTTGATGTGGGATTTCTGGCATTCAGGAATGTGTCATAATGAGATTTGTCAGACTGCTCTCTTTCCTAATAGCATTCCGAGTGCTATGGTTGGAGTGGTGCTCTCCCTCTGAGCACTCAGAAGATGGCTTCCCAGAACTATCCACAGTGACCTTCTCATCCCTTTCCTGAGGAGTAACAGCTCATTCAGAGCTATTGACTCCCACCCCAGAACAAGCTACAGAGAAACAAGCCTGGGAAAATCCCGTCATCTACTAAAGCTGTTGATCCATATGAATGTTAATTGCAGTTAAGAGTCCTGTTGGATCAGAACTAATTAATTATCACACAAGTACCACTAGAGACTGATGATAAACTTCCTGAGAATTTAATCCTTGTACACACAAAACTTCTAAGAAGAATGGTTGAAACACTGAAGATCACAATTTGTAGAAGAAACAGAAGAAAACAAAGACATTAACGGGGCTTTAACCTGGTCTTGGTGTTTGCTGCTGCTCACTGCCCTCCAAAATAAAAAGATACTATTTTAAAAACAAGCAAACAAACCAACTAAATAACCATACTAAACAAGAGAATAGGTGAAAGGGGAAGATATTTTGAAGAGTCTAAATTCTAGAGAGTAATATTAAGACTAATTTAACATGTAAATCTCATTAAGGGATATGAGAAAACATAAATTATGAGCTTCATCTGCTGCCTTCATTTTTACTTATGTCCAAAATTGTTCTTTAGCGGTTTGTTAAGCATATGAGTTGATCTCGCTGGGTCACTATAGTGGCTAAGAGCAGTGGCAGTAGTTAGCACTTTGCTGTGAGGGACAGCTACCCAGCAAAGCTTACGCAGTAAAAATGCCATGAAGCTGAGAGACACTACAAAGCTTCCACAGTATGAGGAGAAACTGAAACTTAGAGACTCTGGTATTTGTGTTTTACAGCTAGAAACCCCAAATCTCCAACTAACGCTGAACATGATTTCTATTTGTGTTTATAATCAACCAACATCCATCCCCTCTGGAATACACTGCTCCAGATGCTTTCTAATCAAATAGCATCAGTTTACCCTTTCTGCCACCCTGGGTTTGCTGCTACTGCAGACACCCTTTTATTTGTTAAAGGTACTAAAGTATGCAGGCTTTGGTTTTTTACTCTTTCTTCAGTTTACACCAAAACATCCTTTTTTGTATGGAACAACAACATATCTGAAGATGCCAGTACTTATGCTAACGTAGGCCTCGTGTAAATGTAGGGTTTTGCTAATCCGAGCAGTACTTCAGGCTGTAAGTGCTTGGGTTGGCATGTTTCCATGGTTAATACCTGCCCGAATAAGAAGGCCTGGAAAAGCCTTCTGAGAGCCTAGAATGTGCACTGCTACCCAAACCCCCAAGCTGTGCTCAGCTGGGGTTTTCCAACACCCACCAAGCCAAGTGGTGAGAATAGGGTTGCAACAGCAAGGCTCACATCCCTTGTGCAATGGAAAATTTGGAGAGGAGCCAGTGACTGCTTTCTTTCCTGAATTCTGGTAGAAGGTTGCAGAGATGCCTCTTCCCTCAGGCAAGCTACATCTCAAGGGTGAACAGAGATGTAGAAACTGCAAGACAATAAAGTGTGATTAATTTCTGTCAGTGAATGCTGTGCTGCAACCCAATTTCCAGGTGTTTTTAAGTGTAATTGCTATCTTGCTCACATTCTTCTGGGAAGAGATCCATTTCAATTAGTACAATCTCTCGGGTCTCTAATTTACTGCATAGGGGTGTGGATCAAGGGGGTTGTTTGCAGCTTAGCCTGAACAAGGTTAGCCTGATGCTTTTGGGTTGAAGAAAGCAATTATGGCAATTGTGCGTGAAATGTTTGCATTGCTTGTCCTCTGGTTTTTCTAACCATCTTGCAATTTCGGGGATGTTATCTACTCCTGACTTAAGACCTCGTGAACAATTCCCTGCTTTGTGAGGAACAGAGCAGATTGCACACTTTTCTTTCAGCAGCAGTTCTCATAAAGATAAGCCCAGTTCTCCTCATTGCCAGGTTGTGCTCCAATTTGTTCCATTACTTCATGCATTTTAAGACAACAGGAATTTCTACACCCATGAAACCATCCCAGGGCAGTTGCACAGAAAAATATGCTCTTTAATTTACACTGCACTTAAAGAAATCAAGGGTAGTTTTAATCTCTAATACTGTCCATTTTGACAGTAGCTGGGATGATGCTTAGGCATTGAGATAAAATTGGGATCTCCTGTATCTCCTATACTATGTAGAGTTTCCTTATATATTCAATGTGGAACTACTTTATGTGCCTTTTTAGGCAGCACAGTTGAAGATACAACATATTCAGTGAGGCACTTCCACCTCAAGAACTTGTCTCTGTTGCTGATCCCTCAAACCTGTTATTCAGATGTTAGGATATTGTACAAAATGAAGCTGTTCACAGAATTAGGGAGTGCAATACATGAGAAATGGCTGAAAAGCTTATATCTGGTCTTCTGGGGGAAGCGCTACTCATCCCACCTGCACTTGCCTTCAACAAAACATAGATGTGCTCTGTAGCAGGAGCTGCACATTTGTGCCCAACAGCCCTAGCACTGGTGAATAAAATAATTAGGTTTGTTGTCAATGGTGCTAAAACAATGTGGCTATGCAGAAAACATTTTCTTTGTGTTGGTGTCTTCTTTCCAAATAAAAGGTTTTAACATGGAAAAAGTTTGCTTTGGGTTGGGTTGGGCTGAAACTCTGCTTCCAGCTGTTTCCTAATTTTTTTGCAACTTTCCAGCACTCTTCCAGCTTCTGTACTCAGTCCTGGTGAGGCCACATCTGGAGTAGGCTGTCCAGCTCTAGCTGCTCAGCCCAACAGAGACATGGAGCTCCTGGAACAGGTCCAGCAGAGGGCAACAAAGGTGATTAGGGCGCTGGAGCATCTCTCTCACGAGGAAGGACTGAGAGTTGAGCCTCTTCAGCCTTGAGGAGAGAGAGACAACCGAGAGGGGAACTCGTCAATGTTTATAAATATCTAAAAGGGGTGGGTGCCAAGAGGATGGAGCCAAGCCGTCCTCGGTGCTTGAGCCGGGAGGTTGGACCACATGACCTACTGTGGTTCCTTCCAACCGGAGGATTCTGTGATTCCAGAGGTGGAAACAGCTTTTTCCTTGTGTGCTACTACTACTACTACTACTACTAAATAATGATAATAATAATACCTCCCCGTGTTCCCCGCGGAGGACCGACGCTCTCCCTCCCAGATCCCAGCCAGGGCCCGTGCGCCCTCGGGGCCGGCGCGGGCCGGGCGGGCAGGTGAGAGCCGCGCTCGGTGCCCGGGCGTTGCGCGGCTCCGCTCGGCGCGGGGCGTAGCGCGGCGCGATCGCGATTGGCGGCGCGGGCCGGGACCGGGGCCGCGGGCGGGGCGTCACTGAGGGCGGTCCGAGGCGCCGCCGCTGCCGCCGCCCGCCCTTCCCGCCCTGCCCCGCCGCCCGTGCCCGGCCTTAAAGGGGCGCGGGGCCCGCGGCGGCGGCAGTAGCGCAGTGCGGGCAGCGGCGGCTGTTCAGCGGTGCCCAGAGCGCGGGGGGGCCGTTCCCTGGGAGCGCCTCGCCTGCAGCCCCTCCCTGCCGCCTCCGCCGCGCTCCCGCCCCTCGGGCCGAGGCTGTCACCGCGCCTGCCGCCGGGCGCCGCCAGCATGTTTGACAGGACGCGGCTGCCCTTCGTGGCGCTGGACGTGCTCTGCGTGCTGCTGGGTAGGTCGGGGGGCCGCGGAGGAGCGGGGGGAGCCGCCCCCGGGGCGCCGCGCTCCCCCCCGCACGGCACCGCGCTGGTCGCATGCTCGCCTCCCCCTCCCCGCCGCTCCGGCACCTCCCGGAGCGGGGCTCCTGCCGGCCCGCAGCCCCCTCCGTGCCTGCCGCCCCTCGCTCGCTCCCTCGCCTCCCGCTCCGCGTCCGCACCGGGGGGATCTGGTCGCTGCCGTGGGCCGGGAGGGGAAGGGAAAGCCCCGGGGGGAGGGAGCTGCTGCAGCTTATCCACTGACATCTGAAGCTCCCTCTTCTCTCTGATGTCCTTACTGTTCCTTCCCTAACCACCTCTGTCGGATGAAAACCGGTTGTGGCAAAAGTGCTGGAGAGGTAGCTGTCTGGTAGATACCTGCAGCCTGGGATGTGTTTGTTATCCCGAGCGAGTCGGGAAGCTGTCCTGGAAGGGGCCGTCATCACGGAAACGCGCCTCATCCATCCAGGGTGCTGCAGAGGCGCGACGGCGCTCGGCAGCAGGGCAGGGGTTCGCTGTAAGGCTTGAGCTGAATGCGGTCGCGGTGTCATCGAGCCTCCGCTGTAGCTGCAGGCTGGAAGCGGAATGAGGCATTCATTAGAGCGCGGTGTCTGCGCCCTCGTGTCCGTGTGCGGCAGGGAGGGACGGGTCGGGCAGGAGCCGTGCCTCGGTGATGGCCAGGGGTTGAACCGACACAGCCACAGCACACTGCCACAGCGCTGCAATGCTTGTCCTGGCCAGCCCGGATATTGGCTTCCCAGAATTGCTTTATTCTATTTCAGTCTCTGTTGAAACTATTTTGTGTCCTGCCAATTTGCATTAACTCTCCTTTTATGTAATGAGACAGTGTAAAGAGCAATGATGTCAGTTACCGATCAGAGAAGGGGCAGTTTCACTTCGTAAAGTGGCACCTCTCAGTACTGGGATCCTAGGAAGTGTCTTTACACTCTGGAGATGTACTTCTTGGTCTTAGGAAGTGCTGATTTTGGATGTTTGCTTCTTAAGCAAATAATGTCAGCACTTCAGTAATACAAGCACTTTCTTGTCATGTTCAGTGGATAGTGTTCAGGCCTAGCTCATGAATTTCTGCTTGGCTGAATTTTTTGGCTGATTAGTATTTTTTGTAGCATCTGTATAAACCTAGTGACATTTTCTACTTGCTGGATGCTTCAAATAGCAATGGTACCTGTAGCTAAATGCCATTAAAAAGCAAAATTATAATGAATGATACATTGCTCTGAGGTAATGTTACAGGAGAGAGAGCTTTTGCAAAATGATAGTGGATCCATGTAATCCACTGGGAGCAATCTTTTTTCAAATCAGGAATTGTATCAAACTGCTATTATGAGTCTTAAACTTTCATGCTGTCTTTATGGTGAGTGAAGCAGTTTTGTCTGTCTGGATAATTGTCATTACAAAATCTTTATAATTAGACAAAAATTTTGCACTATGCACGTGGTTTGGTCTGCATGAAGCGTATGGGTATATTGTAAGTAATCTTGAGTAATCAAGGAAAGCAAAATATATGGAAAGTAAGGCTACAGAAGTATATATAACTTGATGGTCATCTGCCTGAAAGGATGAGGGTTTCCCTGTCCCAAATCATTACCTGGGAAGGTAGGTTTTTGACCTTGTCCTGCAGTGTAATAGCAGTTTGCAAACCTTTCCCTTCTCTCCCCCTCACACTGTGTAGTATTTGGATCACAGATACACTTATCTGGTACCTCAGTGTGCTGGAAGGTTGCCAGACTTTTTATTTTCCCTTGGGCTTGTTTACTTCCTGAAAAGTCTGAAAACTGCAGGCAGTGCATAATATGAAGTTCCCTGACACCTGCAACTTTAAACACATTGAGTTACAGGTTTCAGTGAAACTCTAGCTGAGATAAAAAGATTTTCCATTTGCAGAATGGGACTGGGTGTAGGACCAAGTTGTCTTCCTCTTCTGCCTGCCTCTCATATGGCTGTGGTCCTGAGAAGAACATAGGTCTTACCTGTGACTGGCCTGTTTAACTTTTTTACTGTTAAAAAAAAAAAGTTCATGTTGATTGTGGACTTTAACTCTCAGTTTTTCCCTTGCCCTTCCCCCTGCCTGTGCACTTTGGTATGTGCTCAAATGACGGAGGTAACTGCCCAGATAAAGTGACTTGCTGGTATTGATAAATGATACCTAGTATCTCCACTGCAAAGACTACAAGGCCTGCAACAGAACTGAAGGTTTAAAAACGATGAAGACCAGTTTCAGTTGAGGACTGAACCCTCAATCTTGGTGTGGTAGCCCACGATACCACAAAAAGGGGTACCAGTAGCATCCTCAGAATCCCCAAGGTAACTCTTGTCACTTAATACAGAGCTTTTCTTTTTTCTCCTCTTTTTGCCTGTTTATACCTTCTCCAAAGCAGATGAGGAAGAAAAATCAATTTAATTGTCTCGGTAATGTTAGACTTGAAGCCTAAGTGATATCCAAGCATACCACGTGGAGCTGCAGTGATCTGACACACCCATGAACTCACTGCAGTGGAAGTGCATGATTCTTACTGTGTGTCTGACTTACTCGCTCCTGGTTTAGTCAAGCCATTTTTGTGTGGTTTCAACTTTCAAAGAAAGGGAAGGGAAAAAAGAGCTATCCTGTGATTTTTGTGTGTGTGTGTGTCTGTGATTTAGACAGATTTACTGAAAGATGTGACATGCTTAAGATGGAGCCAAAGTAAGACAATAAGAAAGACATCAAAGAAGAGGAGGTGGGAAGAGGGGGGGAAAAAAAAAGTAGGAGGTAAAAACATCTTTAGAATTAGCCCAGTTTGGTTCCCTGAGACTCAAGTCTAAGTTTCTTTTAATTATCCTTAAGAAAATCTCCCCCTCATCTGCCTTTTTACCCACTAAAGGAGAGAAAATTCAGGGAAAGCAGTCTTTGGTGGCCTGAGAAAACAACTCCTTCCCTCTTATCAGCACGAATAATTCTCTTCTTCTAAAAATAACACTGGTATTTCAGCATTAAATTAGCTTATGTTCCACAATCTAAAAAAAGCGAAAGCTGCAGGTTTCTGCAGTATCTGTCCTCAAATAGTGTGAGGAGGCTGTATCTGCATTCTGTGTGTGCCGATCTGCAGTGCTGGCTGTGTGTGTGTGTGGTGCATGTCCGCATGCAGCTCTGCAGTGCTGCAGGCAGCACCTGCCTTACTCCCCATGCTCCTGTAGACAGTGCTCAGCTGCTTCTGGCACTGGAAAACATGGGTAGCCTGCAGGACTGCAGGATTTCCTTCTCCCTCATACCTCTGTTACTTGTCTCTCCTAGGTTTTCTGATAGATATTTTTATATAGCGTGGCAGAAATTGGCATTCTCAACAGTAGTAAAACCATTTTTCACAGGTAGACACTGAGGCTTGGTTCTTATGGTTTATTATGCTTCCAAACTGTCATGCAAAAAATGACAGCTTATTAGAACAGCTTAATTAGTTGGCTTGCAAGTGGTGTTTTCATTAGGCACTATATATACACATATACACTCTGTGCCACTCTTACAGGTCTGTTGTTTGTTTGATTGCAAATCAGGCTCCTTTTTCATTAAGGCGGGTAAACAACACTTAAAGAACAAAGTTGGGAAACACATGACAATATTCCTGCAATCAGTGGAAGAACTGCTAAATACATTCATCTTTAGATTAGACTCACAGAGACAAAGATTAAAGGAAGCTCTGCAGAGGTGACCGGAGCCATAAGGAAAACACCTTCTGTCACAGCTCTGGGACGACTTTCATCTGGTCCGTACTTGTTGAAATTCATGCCTAACTTGAGTGCAGGGTGCAATACAACACAACTGTATTACTTTAGTCCCTAGTCTGACTATGCAATTACTGACAAGCTTACTACTTATAGTAATACTGACAAGCTTATTACTTATAATAATAAGTAATTGGGGAGTGTACTTGTCCATATGGGATTGCTGGTGTAATGCAAGAATATGTCCAACCCAAGATTAGAAAAATTGAAGCCTTCTAAAGAATTAAACCCTTGCTGCTCTATTCACTTTTCTATTCACTTTTTCTTCCTCTCCGTGTCCTACCCTGTGACTGTGGGGAAGGTGAGATTATGGCAGTCTTATTTATATATTACCATAATTATTATTTTTTTAAATGAAACTACCTCTGAGTAAGGGAAGGACTTCTCTCCTTCCAAACAGAAGGACATGTGAACTGAATCCAGAAATAGTAAACATTCACATTGCTTTCAGCTTGCTGTTTAAAGACTGCTGGAGTGTTTTGTGATAATGACAACACGCTAAACGGCAGATGCACATATACAGGACACAGTGAGTTTTCTTTTGCAGGGTGTGGCCTGTGGGGGTGGGATGGCTGGACCACTCGGCACACCCTGCACATTGTTTTGCATTCAGTGCTGCTCTCCTCTCTTGGGAGTGTTTACCCGTGCTGTCGCTGGAGGCTGCAGTCTCGGTGACAATTAAGGTATTGCTGTGCAGTCAGGGAAGGCTCCTTCTGTGTGGGTTAGCACTTCCTGATTGCCCTAGTTCAAATAAAACCTCCTCCGCTATTATTTGTGACTCACTGACATATGTGTCACCGTTTGTATTTTCCGCATCATGTGGATGCTAAATACCTTTTCTAGTACATGAATACATTGTAAAGCTGTAACAGGTACATGTGAAAGAGCAGTTTGTCTTCGGTGACACTCTCCTCCAGGTACCATGACTTAGTACTTATTAAGTTGACGCTCTCAGTTAATTGGAGACGTACTTGTTACCTGAAACTGGGAAAATCTTCCCTCTCCTAATGTGCTTTCTTCTTTGCAACAGTCACTTTTTATTTTCCCCAACATAAAGAAAGATGCTTTACCAGAGACTCACTCCCTCTTGATCAGAAGCCTGCAGAAAAACTTTTGGTAAGAGATCAATTAGTTAATGAACAGTATTCAAAGTCAGCAGTCTGGTTCATGTTCTGCCAGATTTTGCTGTAGTATATTTTGT